GAGTGTGTGTGTGTGTGTGTGTGTGTGTGTGTGTGTGTGTGTGTGTGTGTGTGTGTGTGTGTATGTGTGTAGTATAATGGCCTATCAGTCATGCAGTAAGTGCCTTAGACAGGAATATGGCAACACCTTGGGAAAACACTGGCCAATATGATTACTGCGAGGGGGGGTGGGTACACTTTTTCCATGGGCTGCTGTGCTGTAAATCTGCAGACAACTGTAAAAGTGCTGCAGGGTAGAACATTGTGAGTGGCGCCCGTCCACTCAGGACTTTTAATCAATAATGCAGTTTTGGATCCAGAGACATTACTGCATTTGTCATCTGCAGTTCCAAAAGTATTTAATCATTTGAGCAGCAGTAGGAAATTATCATCATTCACTCTTATCACAAAGAGCCACGACAATAAGTGGCTTTCCTTCAACTTGTGTCCATACCCTTTTTTTTTTAAAAGCTTGGCTGATATGGAAAGATGTTTCAAATGCAGCATAGATAGATAGATAGAATCGGAGGGATGAAACCCTCTTTAATGGTCACACATGCAGAGCACAAAGCACACAGTGACATTTGGCCTCTGCATTTAACCCGGCAGCTATTGTACAGCGCCGGAGAACAATGGGGAGTGAGGAGGGAAGGGGGATGTCCGGTGCCTTGCTCAAGGGCACCACGGCAGGGCCCAGGAGGTGGACTGGGACCTCTCCAAGTAGCAGTCCACTCTCCATATTGTAGGTCTGGTCGGGGACTTGAACCGGCAACCCATGGCTCCCAGTCCAAGCCCCTACTGACTGAGCCACTGTCGGAATGCAATGGACTAACGTTTAGCCAACAAACCACAAAGCATGCAATTTGAACATTCACTGAAGTTTTCCCCCCTGACTACAGAGACACACATTGTGGCGGATGAATACTTCAGGTACATGTGGATCAATGCACAAAATAAATAGAAATGAAATATTTCCAATTTATCAGCAGTTGGAGTTGGGGGTGGAGGTGCTTATCGCCTTTAAGCAGCAGCTTCCTTAAAGGTGGGGTATGTAATTTTGGAGAAACCAGCTAGAGTGCGCTAGAATTTGAAAATACACAACCGGAAAAAATCTGCCACTTCCTTACAGAGCCCCTCCTCCAACACACACGGACGCGCACATGACCAATGAGGGCATGAGATAAGTTTGTGCACAGATGGAAGGCTGACAGGCAGGTAGGCCATCCAGTTATTTTAGCCGGGCCGTCTAAATGATTGGTTGTGCTTTTTACAGTACTACGGCTTCCACAGATGACATTTTTTAAATGTTTTTATTGTCAAAGCATTTAATATATTCATTGCTATCGGGATGTTAAGAGCATTCCATGGAATATAACAAAAAGTGTTTCTGAAATATATTACATACCCCACCTTTAAGGGTGGAGATTTCACGTCAGCTTCTTCTCCAAACTGTGACTGAGTGTCAGTCACAGGAGTCTAAATATAAACATCTAAAATGAATATCCAGATCCCAAAAATCTTTCAAGAGCATAAAAAACAGGGCAAAACTAACCTTAAAACAAAACGGGATTTGTTTGTATTTGGATCTAAAGAATCTGAGATAACGGGGACTTTGATGCATTTTAATGTGTGGTAAGCAGAGTTGTCTTGCACAGATTGAAACTGTTCTTGTAGACAGTGGCTGCAGCTTCAGTCAACTACAGAGGGGCCTTGTATAAAGATCCTTATCAAGTAAAGTCACTAGAGCTCCTGCCCTGCTGTGTCCTGCATGGGGATTTATGTGGATATTAGTTCATTGATTTATGCAGGCTGCTGGGGTATAGACCGTGTTGGTTAACACAGGCCCCAAAGTGTTTTTTATGACTTCTGTCAGCGCTATGCGCCCTGTGTGTTGGACAAATAAATACTGGGGGACAAACTAAATACATACCCCCATGACTCAGCAATAACTTTTATTTTACCACCCAGGTAAACACTCCTAAAAAAAGCTTGATCTATTTTTATAATAATTATTGTACAGCATGTGGAAAAGTCAATACACTGCTGGTGTATTGGAAACCTAATAGGAATGATACTTCCCAAAGGTTAATGGTAATTAAATTGTAGAGCTACAATACATAAAAAGTAGGTTTTGCATTTCTTTTGTGAACAAGCTGTGTTGTGTATTAAACGTTTTCCACGTAAAGACCTCTTTAGTTGAATAACTCTAAAAGGTAACCTCTATTTCTCCTTATCTCAACGCTAAAAGAGAATTCTGCTGTGCAATTCACATGTTTATTTTCTTTCATTTAGTTTGACAGAACGTCAGCTGGTAGTTTAACATAAGCAGTCAAAAATTATTGTGCTGTTTGTTATTGAAAACAAGAAAACAAGAAAGTTTTTCTCCGGTTCAAAATATGTCAGATTGTATAGAAACTTATGAGAATTGTTTATCTCGTCTGATTTATTATTTAATAATAATTTCCCTAATGTAGTCTTTAATATTAATGTTCTTCAACTGCCTTTCCATAATATCTCTATGGAGGCCGTGGCAGTATTTTTCTTGTAGGAGTTCATCAACCGCTTCGTAGCTACGTGTGCTACGTGCATTTGCTCTTTATCTATGACGTACATTAAAAACTATAAATTCAACCCTATACAAAACATTTATTTTATATTCTATTTAAAGTAGATGCAAGGCCAAATTATTAAGGATTCCTAAAGCTCATTGTGCCAAAATATAACAAGTAAACCATTTAAACATCACACGGCCCCTTTCCATGGAACTGATTTGGACTTCAGTGTGGATTTAGCATCTTGTGCCACTGGACTACTCAGCTAGATTAAAGCTTTGCCATGGCAACACACCAGCTCTCTGGTTCTCATACACTATGCCTGGCTAATTTCCATGACAACCTTATAAAAAATCTCAACAGAGACCTGCTTCAACTTCAATTTAAAACCTGATGCTGCCTCAGGCTGCTTCCCGGTGTTGGCTACGAAACTGAAACTAGAGAATGTTAAGTAACATAGTGTCCAGCGCCACACACACACACACACACACACACACACACACACACACACACACACACACACACACACACACACACACACACACACACACACACAAAAAACCCAGGTTAAGTTACATGCTTCCCACCCTGATCCGCTACCACCCCTCAAGCACAACACACACACACCCACACACAGAGGGTGTGACGTGTGTGTTACCTGGCTGGCATTGATACAGTCGGTGAAGGCACTCCTCCTGGAGAAGAACGTGAGGAGCTGCTGCCAGCGAGTCGAGGAGGTGGAGGGGGAGGAGGAGGCGGGAGAGGAGGTGGAGGAGGTACGTGGAGGTGCGAGCTCCTCCGAGGAGCCACGCTTTGGGCCCAGCTTCTGTTTGACCCCATGACCCCCGGATGACCCGCCCGCCCTCACACTGCGGGGGACCAAGGTGTTGTTGCCAAAAATATAGTTCATCGTCTCTGCGTTCTGCGCTTCCTTTAGTCAAACAAGATAGACTTCATGTTGCAGCACTTTTCCACTGCTTCATCTCTGGTTTCTCTACTCTGTTGCTTTCTTCCTCTCAAGCTCTAAAAGTGTTGCTGTCAAATATACAAGTTGACCACTTCCTTATTTTCTGTTTTTGCTGAAGATGGAGCAATTATTCATCTCCTTTGCTCAGTTTTCTTTGATAATGATCCCTTTTGTCCCTTTTCCTTTCTCCAGCTCCCTCAGGATTAAGAGAGCAGCTGGCAGTTGGAACGATGAGCAGCTGGAGGAGGAGGAATTGGTAGAGGAGGTAAAAAGTGCAGAGCAGGTAGACAGAGTCCTCCAAGAGTTGGAGCAGAAGCCTGTGTGTTAGGGTTTTTGTACATCCACTCGTCAGTCCATCTGCCCAACTGTCGTCCCATTGGTCCGTCATCCCATCGTCCAGACTGGAGACACGTCCAACATCCACACCTCTGTTAGTCCAAAATCTCCTCTTCAACTCCTTCCTCTCCTCTCTTCAGAGAGAGAAGGCGCGTGGGCCAGGCAACGACAGGATATGAGGATTGATTATTTAAGGGGGTTCACTCTTTCTCTCTGGCTTTCTCCACCCCACCTCTTCCTCGCTCCCTCCCTCCTCCTCTCTAGTCCAAGGAGATGACCAGTCAATCTCTCCTCTGTCACTGTGTCTGCTCCCATTAAATATGGGAGGAAGCGGGGAGGGAGGTGGAAAGATGCAGGCGAGGAGGAGAGCATCTGAAGTAGGAGGCTGGCTGGAAGAATCACTCTGCAACTCTTCGGTTTCTCCTCCCCTCACTCCTACATCTGTGGTGTCGCTCCAAGTCTCACTCTCTCTTCTCGTCGCTCACTCGGTACAGTATATTATTTAATCTCTCTCTTCTCTCTCTCTCTCTCTCTGTCTGTCTCTCTCTCTCTTCTCGTCGCTCACTCTGTACAGTATATTATTTAATCTCTCTCTTCTCTCTCTCTCTCTCTCAGCAAGTTGTCTTTTCCAGTCTTTTATTGGAGCTGCAACCTGACGCCCATTTCTCTCTCTCAGTCAGATATCATTACTTGTACAAGCCACGCCCCCAAATGCTAGCCAGCCAATGACATAACAGAACCCCCCCCCCTCCTACTCCAAATATACACACACACCTTCAAAACATCCATGCACACACAAACACAGGTAATGAAGCCTGTTGCAGGTTGAGGAGGAGATGAGGTGGAAAACTGCTAAATGCCACCGAAGTAGAAATTGAATGCTAGCGGTGACTAGACAGATAACAAGATAAAAGAGTTCTATTTGTGTCTGCGTGAAAGGGGAAGAAGTCAAAGTGAATTAAGAGAGGTGTCACCCAGTGTCAACCTTTAAGGATTTACAATGAGCTTTGTATCAACACGTACATGTGTGTAGGTTTGTGTCAAAATGCAATCATGCAATAGTTAATAACTTTGTTGTTTACATGTGTGTGTATGCATGGGCAAGTGTGTGTGGTAGAGAGATCTTCTCTTGAGGCCGTTTCCGGACACTGCAGCACCCAGCTCTCCCACACACTCTCACTCACTCTCACGTACACATACACACAAACATACTCGGACATACACGCATAGAGCACGTCTCCAGAATGGAAAACAACAGGCTGTTGCTGGGCACCGACTGAGATGAAGAAAAGGGAGAAGATAGGGAAAGGAAGAAGAGAGCGATACAACATGCTAACAAGTGTCATCACATCATCTCTCATTAATAGCAAAAGCATGCATTAAATTAGCTATAGCAAGTCTGAGCCAAATGCTAGCTTGCTTCATCAGCAGGGTCACTTAGCTGCAGGCACTAGCTCACTTCATCATAATAAGTAGAGCTTTTCCAGCGTCTGCCGTGCACAGCTAGGTTAGCCTCCCTGAGGATTAGCCACAGGTGGAGCAGGACCCCAGTCAGTGCTTCTTCCTGTGTTTCCTTGGGAACTGTATCTATAGCAACAGCTTTCTGAGCCCTGGAATACACCTGGTGCTGGCTGACTAATGTGATGTTTGCTAAAAGCTGAATGTATGTCACTGAGATTTCTTGTGTTGTTTTTAGAGGAATCCAATATGAAGAAAGCTGACTCATATATGACAGAGAAATAGAGTGGGTGAGATGGATTCTCAGAGTGTCCCCGTAGTCAGGCTTTGCAAGAAGCTTCTGTGACCAGCACTTAGCAGTCTGAATATAAAATAGTTGAAGACCGACCAAGCTGCTACAAGACAATATATACTAACAGTCCTAATTCATAAAGTAGCAGCTAAATGATCATGATCCGATGTTCACACCAATAGAAAGCGACTGAACAACCTGGAAACCCTGGCTCCTGTGGGGACTACCAACAAACCTGCTGGCTGAGAAAAAGTGTACTGTGACTGAAAGCCAATAAGACATTGCCTTAAGACTCTTAGAAAGAGAACAATATTCTCAGTTGATTTATTATATCAGTATTCATCTTCCTGTCAAGTTAATGGCGTCAATAACTAGTGTCAACTATTCGTCATTAAAGCATGATGTTCATTTTGTAAATGTTGTCTTCAGAATTTAGTAAAATAGACAATAAAGCAGGGAATGCTTTAGAGTGGGCTAGCTTTTGATTGACAGGTAACCACCAAGTTGGTTTAGCTCATATTACAACTTTAACCCTTTCTAAGTTGTTTGTAACTCAGGTTTTTTATAATGTCAACTCATTGTTGTTTTCAGCTCCCCCCTTCCACATCATGACAAAAACAAGATGTCATCAGCCAACATGACAAACCCAAGGATCAAAAATGTAATCTCCAAACCAGTGGATGACGTCTACAGTCTGTGGTCATAAACCACATATTGGAAAACATTTAAATGAACCTGATTATGGTACTAAGTAAGAATATAGGAGTTTCCAATCAACAGCATAACTGTTCATCCTCAGGGGGACATGAATGGCTGAAATGTTATTATAATCCATCAAACAGTTGTTGAGACATTTCACCAAAAACACAAGGTTTTAAATATGGTCTGGAGCAAAGTGAAGGACTGACTGACAGTTTCATCCCTAAAGTCATTCTGCTGACATGGCTGAATAAAAGCATTGAGTTGCTTATTTCCATGCAATGGAAAAATGCTTCTCACTTAACAGACTCTCTCTAAACCACCATATGCAGTGTAATAACTTAAGTTGCATAACACAGCAAGAAAGCAACCTGAGCTTCTCGCCCACAATCAGTAAGGAAAGATTAAGACATCAATCAAGTGGCCTGCAGTGTGAACACACAGTAAGGAGCTACCACCGGAGCTAGCGTAAATTACAACTGAAACCATATCATTAGCCTCTGACAGTCATTCTCTACAACCAGTGTGTCTGCAGCCACCATGACTCAAAACACAATACACTGACATGACAGGCTGACACAGCAACAATTCACTGAGTCACTGGCTGCAACACTATTAGCCCTGCCTTCCTGTGCCTCTCTCCATCACTTTTACCTTCTGTCTCTCTAGCTCTCTATCTCTCAAGTCAAATGTCAGTCAGTGAATGTCGGCTCCATTAATATTTCAGGACCAATTAAATAAAAACACACATCATGCATGTTTAATGTCCGCCTGCTGAGAGAGCCAACTTTGCCCTTCCATCATCTACAGGTAATGATGGATAGCCTAGCATACAAATGCTGTGTTTTTTTTTTAAAACAAATTATTTACTACTCCTCCCAAAGATTGACCAGCAACCTATTTCAGATATCAACTCAGCGTGCACCAGACAGTCTGACCCTGTAACCCAGTAGCTATTTCGTTATGTAGGTTTAACCGTAATACAGACTAAAGGCTTGATTCCTACTGGTTTTAGCAGAGACTGTTTATATGTAATAAAACATTTGTAGTTAAGGAGTAGTACAAATCAACCACTTTTTAGTGGCCAACTGAAATCAACACATATTTTGTTATTTTATTTCTTGCCCTGTCATGTTGTCCTAGCTTGCCTTTAACATGGCTCTCAATAGAATTGTAATAGATATTGGCTTCTTGTTGTCAACAACAATACAGAAACGCTGGTGCAGCTAGAAGCACTGTAAACACGACGGCATGCAGATCTATACTGCGGTCTCCTCCACTGGTTCCTAACCATGTTGGCTCTCCCCCAGCCCTTCCATTAGATCCCTTTCAGATTCTGGTAAGGACCATTTTGAAAAGATATGTCAAGCTGCCCTGGTAAATAATGGGGGTATAGAGGGGTAAACATAAAGCACTGCAGAGCGAGCAAGGCACCGGCTCAATCCCAACAGGCCGGATCAAATATTCAGACTCTCAGTGTCTGGGGGTGGGCTGGGTTTTTTTCATAGCTACGCAGCTCAGTTTTTTCTTTAAACAATATAATAATAATAGCAGCAGATCAAATTACTTCACATCACATGAAAGGGGTGTTTTTAGTGATTATGCAGCTCTACAGAACTTTTTTGTGAGTTTGAGCTGTTTTAGCAGAAACATTACCAGTGTTTACTTTCCCCTCTAATATATTGTCATATGGCTTAAGTAGGCAGCACACTACTGTACCAGCTAAACACAAAACTGTATACACACAACGGTAGCAACTAGCTGGGGAACATTGTATAGCATTTTGCAGCTAAAGATAAAAACATTATAAAACACTAATTAAAGAAAAGTGAATATATAGAACTCACATCCACCAGGGAGCCAGAAACATAACTCTAAATGAGAGAAAATGTAACTTCGTCATTTTTTTAATGTATAAATGGGCAACTACCTTTCGGAGATTGCAGGTTTTAACATAGATGAACATAAAAGATAGCAGACATAAAGGCAAAACGCCTGTAGACTGTAAGGGCGACTACATATGAAAGGATGCGTATTCAAGCTTTCAATAGCTAAAAGCTACACTGTCCCCAAGTGTCAGCTATAGCTAGTTCCATGCTGTTGTCTGCAGCTCTATGGCTTACTCTGTCTCTCGGTCAGTCCCAAAGCATTTCCCCCCCCCCCCTTGACGGCCACATGTTCCCCCTAAGAGATTCAAATTTGCAATGGATGTCAAGAGTGTGTGAGGTTGTGTGTGTGTGTGTAATGAATAAAGTGAATGCATGACCACATGAATGCATGCAGGTAGGTGGAGGCAGCTTTTGAAATCAGGCTTGTTTTTAAAAGAAAATTGGTGAGCCACACAATCGATTTAAGTCCAAAGACAAGCCAGATAAAGGTGGACAAATAATCCTGTCAGTGCCTTTTTCTAAGGCTAATCACATTAAAGGAAATTGTTAAAATAAGCATTTATTATATGCACATGTACAGCAATTGATTTGTCTATTCATCCGCAGGGCTTTCCATTCGGAGGCAGCCACTACACGACTGTTAGACATTACAGTAAGTGCTGAGCAAAGGTCTGACTGAGTCCTTATTTCAACGACTGTATCGGCAGGGGGGGACATAGATTCATTGAGGAGGGGATTGTCTGATTGACAGGTTGATTAACATCGAGCAACAAATCTGTGTCTGTCTGCCTGTAATTCTCTATTTATCCCATCTCTTGCCGCTCCCCCACCCTTTGTTTCTTTCCTTCCTTTCCTTATTATGTGCATTAGCCTAATGACCAAGAGCCATTAAGGTTTCTGTGTTGCCTACGTGACACTTACTGTTATATAAACTCTACTGTGTTATAAAAAGACATTTAAAAAAAAGACATTTTCACTGTTGCTCCTCATTCAATCTCTGCAGTGGATATCCATTTTATTGGTGGAGTTATTTAAGGAAAGTCAATTATACTGCCGCAGTGCCGACTGCATTTCCTCCTCAGTAAATACAGTAGACTTTCCAAAATGTCAATACAGGTATTAATCTGCCATTAG